AGCCCGCCTAGACACCCCGCCCCAGAGCTGCGTCCAGGCCCGCCCGCCAAGCGGGCGTCGCCTGGCCCGCGGCCGGACGGATTTGCAAGATTTCGTTTCTGTGAACGTGAGCACCAGCAAGGTGCACAAACGGGGACTGCCATCGGCGGGGAGGCGAGAAAACGCAGGAAGGAGTCTGCGTTTACCAGCATTATGGTTCTGGTGCGAGGGGGTTCCGCTACCCTCGGCTGGGTAACGGCACTGTCTGCGCCCAAACACGAGAGCTTTACCGTAAAACCCCTGATGCTTCCTACGGCAATACAAGTGCTACCCTGCATTCCTAGCAATAGGATATATAACCCTGTTGTTAGAGGACAGAATGCAAATTTTCCCCTGTGTTTACTGTGTAATTAAAAAAAAAATCAAACTGGTCAGCTCTATTTTTTTAAGTTAACCTGAGAATAGACCTTGTACGTGGCCATGGATGAACAATTAAACAGCGTTCTTGGTTGTTACCAGGACACATGACTTGAACAACCACATATAGTTGAAATTTCCCTCTGATGTCTTATATGAGCCGTTTATTATAACAAACATTTATAGGCATTTTTTATTGGAATGAAATAATAAATTCACTTTCAGGGTAATAAAAGTTTTTTTCTGCCGGCTGCAGGAAACTGCTGAGAGATCCAACATCATTTTCATGATTCTTACTCAATGAAAGTGTATTAGAACAACATAAAATTCAATCATATTTTTTGACTGATTTCAATAGGAGCAGACACAAAGCCAGACTGATCTCCATGATACGCAAACTCAAAAGTATATAATGCACGTTACAGACCAAATAATATAGGTATTACAAGTGATACAAAAATTCATTTTGAGTTCTTGGATTATTGAACTGTTGATGGTAGTTTTGCAAAACAAAACCCCCTGTGAAACTTTCATCTGTTCTACCACGAGTTCCGTGCAAGCAGGTGTAAAGTGCAGGATGCCTGCCATCCACCGAAGCTCGTCAGCCTTCTCTTATCCTTATTTGTCACGCTTAAAGGTAGGGCACTCTAAGTTTGTTCATCGTATACAAATGAATAAACAATGGACTTCATTTTAAGCTGTGAAAAATTGGATACAAGGAACTAGGTACCACAGGCTTAAGGCAAACAAACATTTCTTCATGTTTCACTGACAGAGCAGTAAAGTATTTAATAATGGAGTTCTAAGATTGGAAGTTCTTGTTATGTTTTTTCAGATAAAGAAGTCTTAAGTCTCTGGGCTTAAGCCCAGAGAAAAAAGAATCTATTCAAACTGCAGCAAAATGCTAGCCTTTGAAAATGAAAAGTTCATATTGTTCTTCAACAATAGGAAGTGACAGACAGAGATTTCTTTCTTGGGGGAAGACGTTAAAAAAAAAATAGTTCTGACTCACAGGTGTCTGTTTTGACAGTTGCCATTAAGAACCTAATAAAAAGTATATAATGCATGGGTCAGTGGGGATTTCCATGATACATTATTTTATTATTCCCTACTTTTGTAACAGTTTGATGCTAGACTTTTTTGATGCATTGCTAAAATACATTAACTGCAAATCAGTAAATGCCTGAGTTCATTTTCATTTTTAAAAATAATTTATTTTTGCATAGCTGTTGAAATAAAGTGATGCAGTCAATCATTCTGCAATGGTTCACCACAATCTTGAGAGAATTTAGAACTACAAACATTTTCAAATAGGTGTACCAATCAGTTAACGAGAACATTACACCTCACATCAGAGGACAATTTGTCAACATAGTGCTTGCAGGGAACAGAGTGAACCACGGACGGTGCGCTGTGAGCTGCTGATCTAGAAAGTTATAAGATTTTTATTCCTGTATTTTATTACTAGGTGATCAGCAGTCTACCCTGGACTTCTGCCTTTGCCTCCGTGTTTTCCCACAGTGACCACAACCGTAACACACCAGTTTCTTCACGGGCAGATGGCAGCTATTGGCTGGTCAGCCAGCTGCTGTCGAACAGTATCTGGTATCAAAGGATGTTAAAAAATGCTATACATCTTTGAGTATTTCTTACAATAACATAAAATGCCTTCCTAAAGCACAGATAAACTTTTATGTAATTATTAATAGATACATAATAATTAATTTATACTTTATATAGTCATTTTAAAGAATGCAATCTCATGCAGCCACTACGGTCATTCTTAGCTGGTGTAATTCCTTAGACTGCGGTGGAAAGATCTCAGGATGAAAGTGCAACACGCTGTATTTGGCTTCACCTTCCACAGTGGTTTCTCCAAATTAACCTCCATAAAGTTGAACATGGAATGCACAAAAGAATGCCAGTTACGAAGACATAATTAACGTAATTCATTCGTCAAATCACTTAGGACCAACTTAGTGGCATTCCTACATGCACACGGAACAGTGACCTTGCTCCAAAAGCAGTTTCACTGATAAATATAGGACTACATACAGAGACAGATGCTTCTGTAGGTAAATATATCAGAACCTGGTCTGTAGGGTGTAAGTCTGCAGGGGAGATTATAAACAGCACCAATGAAGGAAGTCTGATGATACAGAAAGCTTTAGTGTTGGCTCTCTATCTAATAATTGCACAGAACAATTTTGTGATCTAGTTATGGTGACTAAAATGTATTTTTAACAAATGAAACAGCTCAGTCCTAATTTGTACAGTTGTGTCAAATTCTTTGAAACTGTTATAAAGAACTTTTACAGTGAGGAACGGCAAAAGAAATATCTATTTTGCTTTATTTCCAGGTCATCTAGAAATGCTCCTACCAACTACAATAGGGTTGAGAAAGTGGCCTACGTTTTGAAGAATTTACAAACTTAAGTTTTGAAAAATTTCTGAGAGTCTCATGTAAGAACTGTAGGGTGTAATTAGAAGCATACAGCAGAAACAGAGTATTCAAATTCAACAGCCACAATTTCAGGCACGGCTGCTGCTCAGGATCTGATTAGCTTACTCATGTCAATTAAGTGTTTGCTCGAGGATAAAGATGATGATAAAGGATGAAGACCCGCATTCAGGTCTTCTCCGATTATGGGGAAAGAGAAGGCAAAATGGAAACTTGTATCATCACAAAGTGAGAAACTGAAGAATACCTTTATGTAAAGTGCTGTCTAGCTTTTTCCATAATGAACTTGAAAGCTGGACAGCCAACCAGTATTTGGATGTGAGAGCACCTGTAATTTCCAGGTATTCTGGGCACGAATGGAGGAAATATAATTGAGTATGAGACCTCACAAAGTAAAAGATGACTGTGTGATTAAGCCTTTCAATATCATTATCGAATAGGCAGAAGTTGGAGGACGTGTTGCCTAAAATAGATGGAAGCATATTAATAGAAAATATGGGGTGCTGCTGTTTTATCTACGGCAGATCAACGCTTGGTTAAGTGATTGGGAAATGTTATGTATTTTTGAAAGAAACATAGGAAAAAGGCTGTTTCAAGTTCAAAATTTTTAGGAAAACTGAAAGGACCCCAATCCTGGAAAATAAAATGTTCCAAAACCAAGAAATGTTCAATGTCCCAATCATTATTACATTTTAAGTGCCAAAAAAATAGAAAAAATATTGATTTGTCACTGAAAATTGACTATGAAATAAAGAGGCATTCTTGCAGAAGAACACTATCCAATTTCTTATTTTCAAAAGAATTTAGATCCCACTTTTCTGAAGGATTAACATAGCCTCTGCATTTCAAATGCTAACCTCACATCGCATAAACACAGACTACAGAGGGCTCTCTCCCTTATACCAAACTTCTTTCTTTAGATTTCAAATGTCTTCCCCTAACAATATAAGCTTTAAAGATTAAGTGTATGTCAACACAGCTTAGATTTATATATACATACAATTTTATTGCCATAATCACAAGGATCTAGTGAACCCAATCTTTATGGCTGTTTCTGAAAAAGCACAGCAATTAATAATTACCATAAAAATTCAGAAAAATATTCCAGTTATTTAGAACAGTTACTCTTTTGTTTTTCCCCCACTTAAATATCAACAATGCCTGTATTCACTGCAGCGCTGAAGTTGATGAAAGGAGAACATTTTAAACAGTAACCCTTAAAAAGTTGCTCCATTCCATTCACAAATGATGAGACAAATGAAATTTTGACATATGGTTCAGTGTCACATAAAGATACTCATGTAAGGGAAAAACAACAGCTTCAGTTACAGAAATTACTATATTTAATTCACAGTTATCATAACGTTATCAAATCCCATCTATGTCATTGCATGAAGATACAAAGTCCAGTACGTGTTTTTTTAATACTGAAACTGTCCTATAAAAATCAGAAAACTTTCTCTTCCACCTTTATTAATCTCCAATTTAAGAAAGTGAACGGCTATTCATACAATATTGGATTGCAAAAGGCTATTTGATATGCTAGACGGATATGAAGGAAGCTGAAAGAACTCCCGCAGTGAAGCTGCCCTATTACTAAGTGACATGTTCTGCTATTTGTACTAAAGAGCACGAGAGGTTTGCTTGGGGCTGAACTCCACGGGTTAGAGAGGACTGACACTCTCCCTTACAATGCAAAGCAGGTTATTCACAAATTCACTCTGCTTAGTCCCAATTTCTCATCTATATTCGCATTAAAAAGGATCATATAGTAGTAAGTTCTGTGGGATACAGTGATGCCATTCCGCAACATTCAACCCACGATGCCAACTACATCTGCCTCACCACGAAGAGGCTACCTGCAGGCGCACTTTTGCTTGGGCAAGGGTACAATTACGCCCAAAGCGCAAACTTCAGTATTTTATACTGATGTGAAATCTTTAAGGATTCCACCCTTGCATTTTTTAAGAGACTGGAACAATAAACAAGTCCCCAGGACAGAAGCTTCTGGATGACCGACTGTTTGAATCGACAAAGGGTGCACTGTTAAGGCGCGCAATCCTTCCATTCCTGGGCTGGAATACCAATGTGACTGCGGGACCAAGTCAAGCAGGGCAATGGCAAATGAAGGGCAGCGAGGCAACACGCTGAGCCTGCGCTGGTGCACACTGACCTCCGGTGGAACACGGTGCACTCCGAGTAAGAATCCACGCACAGGGGCTGGAAAGGGAGCGAGTCGGAGCCAGGATTACTTGAGACGGCTTACTGTAAGGAAGTGTACAGGGGGCAAAGACTATTAGCAATATCACCAAAAACACGGGGACAAGCCTCTGCTTCTCAGTCTTAATAAATACTAAGGAATTTTGTCTTAAATGGATTTTTCAAATTTTCCTCATGGGAAGTTTTCTGGGACTTTCAAGAATGACGATATATTACAACCAGAGATTGATTACAGCATGC